TTTCTCATAGTATCTCTAAAAGACATTAAAATGGAAAGCAATGGGATGAAAACCCATACTAATAGGGTGGGGCAGCATTCATATGGCTCATTAAAGGCCCATGAAGGGAAAGCTGTTCCCTCCTAGCCCATGTTAGTAGATCTACCACTAGGTGGAGACCTACCCGTGTACCCTCCATTGAAGTCTATTGTAGTTGGTGAGGTCACAGATGAAGCCAATGATCTGCTCTGGAAAGGCAAGTTTACCTTCAGTTTTGCTGAAGAGATGGGGGAATATTTATCCCTTTCATGAGGTGACACAGCTTTCTTTCCCAGAATTTCTTCTCCTTGAGGTACAATTCCTGGCAGTCACTGTGAGTTCAGGATGGACCAGGAAACCTGTAACGACTCCACTCACTCCTGCCATACTTTGCTTTCTTACTCTTCTAAAGCTCCCCTCCCAGCTACATGGCTGCTTGTGTTCTCCGTGGGTGTCCTTCATACAGACTCAAGGCAATGCGCCTGCATATCCCATCCCCCTTTTCTTTCCCAATCTCCTTTTCTGAGCATCTACTGAGATTGACAGCTTCTCTACACCAGGGCTTTCCAATTAAATTGCAATAAATTATCCTGGAGTTCTGTTTTCAGTCCATTCCTAATTTTTTTAAAATGGGACTAAGTACCCTGAAAGTCCCTTGTTTTCAACTTCTCAGTAAGAACCTAAAGAACCACAGATCCAATGCAATCCCTATTCGTAAGCACAAGACAGAATTGAAATGAAGTTTATAACCTCCAAATTCTATGATATCCCTAAGACCTTTAAATAATAAAACCAAATTTGAAAACATAGAGTTGGACTCAGTATAACCTAAAGAATCAACACATTGTGGTTCTAGCATAAGTAGCCCTATAAGCAAAAAGGTATATATAACATGGGGGGTGGGGTTACAAAAAGAACCAATAGAAAACACAGATTGCGTGACTGAGTCCTGTCTAGGCTGCAATAGGAAAATCTTATAGGCCCAGAGACTTACACAACAGAACTTTGTTTTTTGTAACTTAGAAAATTATAAAATCTCAGATTAAATTGCCTGCTTATATAGCACCTCACCTTGTAGGTGTTTCTTCCTGACTTGCAGAGGCCAGATTTCTGCTCCATCATCAGGTAGTTTTTCCTGTTTGTTCCATGAACTGTGTGTGTGTGTGTGTGTGTGCGTGTGCGTGTGTATGTGTATATGTATGGCCACAATTGCAATGATAATGAATGAAGAAAGAGGATTTTAAACAGAACAGGGAGGGTAATAAGTGAGTATTTCAAGAAGGAAAAAGAAAACGGGGGAGGGAATGAAGAAATCTATTTAAATCATAATCTCAAAAATAAAAATATTTTGAAGAACATATTAAAGAATATTAAGGAAAAACAAACAGAAAAAGAAATCATGTTTATCAATAATTAATTATGTAAAACAGACCTCTTCTAAACTCTCTTCTTTTCTTAGTCTTCCTTTTCATGTGGTGCTTAAATTGTGTGTGCATGTGTGCATGTGTGTGTGAAAGCATAGGGGGTGTGTGTGTGTGTGTGTGTGTGTGTGTGTGTGTGTGCGACGCTAATGCCAAAGCATGCATATGAAGGCCGGTGGACAGCATTAGGCACTGGTCTTCATCTGCTTGTTTTCTGAGGAAAGACAGTGGTCTGCAGATCTTCTCTCAGTAACAGCACTGAGACTGCCATTCCCACGCTTGCTTGGCAAGCCCTTTACCCCTCAACCATCTCTGCAGCAGCAGTCTCAGTCTCCGAGGGAAACAACTGTGATGTTTCCTCCCTCCTGTCCCGTGGTATGTCAGATCTTACGGAGAGCGGGATGAGGTTGGGAGCCCCAGAGAGAGCAGCAGTACTGACCATAGTTATTCTTTCTTTTCCAGAGCACTTAGGAATGACGGACAGATTTCTGTAGGAAAATTAGTCATAGCCTGGGGTCATCAGGGTCAATCCGGCTTGAATTTGCTTTCCCTGCCTACAGCAGCCCACAGCAGGAATTAGAAATTGTGTCCTCACATTACAAGAAATAAAAACATTGGCTTGGCAGCTAAGAAAACTGGACACCAGCTGTCCAGGGAGAGCTGCCTTGACTGGGAGGTTCCCAAGGATCCTTTTGGGGAGCTGTGCCCCA